TATTGTCGGACACAAGTTTCGTTAATTTGTGCCATAAAATAGATGTTTTCCCTCAAAATATTGAACATCAACAAATTATTTTGATTTCTTCATAAGTTAATTTGGTTGCTGATTCCGTTGTCAAAGCTTTTCTTCAAAGAGAGGTGTTATTCTGGATTTGCTTTGCTCGGGACATTATGAAAATAAGTTAATTTCATAAGTGAAAGCTCTGTTTTTGCTATGCTGGCAAAAATAAAAGTTGGTAAAATATGTCCATCGTAAAAAAAAGTCCACCATCATAAGTAGTTGAATGAAAATAGAATTTGAACTTCAAGTCGGTAAATGACTGCTAAAGCGCAGAGAGAGACAGAGAGAGAGAGAGAGAGAGAGGGGGGGGGGAACAAAATAGACAACGTAAAAAGTACACGAAAAAAATAAACCATGAGATTCGATAATTAGCTAGATTGTTCCTTAAATATCCAGTGGCGGTATGTATAAAAAGAGTTTCATGATCGGCACTAGAGTTTTTTTTTTTTTAAATTTACGATAACAGGAAATTAGTCACTAAAATTCAAGAAAATCTAACTTCGTATAAATTAATTTAAAATTCAATGTAATTTCCATGCATAAAGTGATTTGACCCCCAAAAAAAAATTGAGGCCGTAGATATAAATGAAGGCTGATATATTATACTCCATCCTAAATTAAGAGTTAATATTAGTGCTATATATAAGACTTATTTAATATATTTATCAATTTTTTAAAATTAATTCTATTGATATTCTTTAAACAATTATCAAGTAGGAAAGGGAGGGAAAGAATTAAGAAAGATTATTAAGGTGTTTTAGAAAGAACATATAATATTAATTAATTTAACTAACATTTTTAATTTATTCAAATTAGTTAATTAGATTCTATATTAAAGATCGGAAAGAGTATAAAAGAAAAAAATTGAAAAAAAAATTCCTCCATAAAATTTTTATTAGTTATAAGAATCTGAAAATTTTTTATACACAAGAGTATAGACATTTTACAAATTTTATACACATAGAGGGTAATATTTTGATGGGGAAATTTCACTGTAGGACCGCAGAAGACAAATAATTTCAAAGAGCCCCCAAAACTTTCTGAAACCTCATTGCAGGACCAAGGGACCAATCTGATATTAATTTTTAGAGTGAGATTACAATAATACCCCTCCTTTTTTATTTTATTAAAAAATAAATATTTACCGGAGTTACTGTTCCGGCCACCGGAGGTCGGAGGTCCGGCCACCGGCGCTCAGGTGGCCGCCGTCGGGGTCCGGTCACCGGTGGCCGGAACAGTAACTCCGGCGGGACCTCCAGTGGCCGGAGTTTTTTTGTTTAAAACAAAGTGGACAAGGGAGGGTTTGAACCCAGGACCCCTTGGCACACCAAAAGACTTGTAACCACCAAGCCAAGCAACCCATTCAATCATAAAATGCAAATAAAACTATATATAACAAAATAAACGCAACAGTCCAAATGTAAGTGAACAAGTGAAATTAGACGATTTACAAGTGGAATTCAGAAATTTACAACAAAAATTAGGCAATTTACAAATAACATAATAGAAGTCATAACCCCAATGCAAGTGTTTAAGTGCAAATGAGCAAGTGAAATTTGAAGATTTACAATAAAATTTTATGGATTTACAACCCAAATTTGGCAAACACAAGAGAATTCACAACCCAAAATGTAAGTGTTTGAGTGTAAGTGAACAAGTGAAATTAGACGATTTACAAGTGTCATTCAGCAATTTACAACAAAAATTAGACAATTTACAAATAACATAATAGAAGTCATAACCCCAAATGCAAGTGTTTAAGTACAAATGAGCAAGTGAAATTTAAAGATTTACAATAAAATTTTATGGATTTACAACCCAAATTTGGCAAACACAAGAGAATTCACAACCCAAAATGTAAGTGTTTGAATGTAAGTGAACAAGTGAAATTAGACGATTTACAAGTGTGATTCAGCAATTTACAACAAAAATTAGGCAATTTACAAATAACATAATAGAAGTCATAACCCCAAATGCAAGTGTTTAAGTGCAAATAAGCAAGTGAAATTGTCGAATTTCACTTGCAAATCTATAAACTTTTGTTGTAAATCTTCAAATTTTATTTGTTCATTTACACTTAAACACTTGTATTTGGGATTGTGAGTTCCATTATGTTATTTGTAAATTGCCTAATTTTTGTTGTAAATTGCTGAATTCCACTTGTAAATCGTCTAATTTCACTTGTTCACTTACACTCAAACACTTACATTTTGGGTTGTGAATTCTCTTGTGTTTACCAAATTTGGGTTGTAAATCCATAAACTTTTATTGTAAATTTTACTTGCTCATTTGCACTTAAATACTTGCATTTTGGGTTATGACTTCTATTATGTTATTTGTAAATTTCCTAATTTTTGTTGCAAATTTCTGAATTTTATTTGTAAATCGTCTAATTTCACTTGTTCACTTACATTTGGACTGTTGCGTTTATTTTGTTATATATAGTTTTATTTGCATTTTATGATTGAATGGGTTGCTTGGCTTGGTGGTTACAAGTCTTTTGGTGTGCTAAGGGGTCCTGGGTTCAAACCCTCCCTTGGCCACTTTGTTTTAAACAAAAAAACTCCGGCCACCGGAGGTCCCGCCGGAGTTACTGTTCCGGCCACCGGTGACCGGACCCCGACGGCGGCCACCTGAGCGCCGGTGGCCGGACCTCCGACCTCCGGTGGCCGGAACAGTAACTCCGGTAAATATTTATTTTTTAATAAAATAAAAAGGGAGGGGTATTATTGTAATCTCACTCTAAAAATTAATATCAGATTGGTCCCTTGGTCCTGCAGTGAGGTTTCAGAAAGTTTTGGGGGCTCTTTGATATTAATTGTCTTCTGCGGTCCTACAGTGAAATTTTCCCTATTTTGATTTTAGTCCTCAAGCCATCGATGGCAAGTGACATGATGGTGCAAGACAAAAGGGTTGATTGGATGTGATTGTTCAGGGTTGGGATGGAAGTTGGGGACCATAACACGTATAAATCGAAAAAGAGATATGCGGTTCAAAATATTGCAGGGAAACACAATCTATCGACAATTTAGTATAGGGAAGAAAAAGGGGCATTCAAAAATTAGATTCCTTTTCCAACCACATTTATTGTTTTGATTTGTTTAATGCTTCATGGAAAAAGACAATTATTCAAAGTCTTGTTTTAAAAGTAAGTTTTTTATCACTCCATCTAATGAATGTTATTTTATTACTACATCCTGTCCTTAATATAAAATCTAATTGATTAATTTGAGAAGATTAAAAAAATCATTAAATTAGTTATTTGTAATAAATATATATTGTCTTTCTTAGAATACTCTTGCTAATTATGTGTATTATTAGCCAAAATTATTATTTTATGAAACTTTTAACATATGTAATTACTACAATGTAGGACTACTTTTAAAAAAATAAATAAATATAAAAAACAAAGTAGGTTGGGATTTTATATTTAAAATCAAATTGAAAGTCAAACTAACTTTTATGTTTAGAACCCATGATAATATTTGATTGAGAAAGTTGTTACTCGTTTTATAAACACTAAACTTAAAAATTTGTTGACAAAAAAAAAACTTAAAAATTTGAAATGTTTATGCGGACTATCGTGAACAAATAAAATGACTTAGATGTTAGTTTCATATTTTTGTCATTAATAATACTTGGCCTAAAAACGAGATATAATCTTCTGAAGACAGCATCTTAATCGAACATAGCGTGAAATAAATCTTTTAGTTTGTTACCTTAGCAGTAAAATATTTTTTTCTAGATATAGGTATCTTCCTATTAGAAGTAATTTTATTCAGAATATTATCAGATACTAAATATGGGTATTTTTTTCAATAGAGATTCAAATTTTAATTCATTGTCTTATAAAAAACTAGTCTTTTCTGGTAAATTTAATTTTTTGATATGAATGAAAATTTATTGATGTGGTATTATCAAGAAAGACACCAAAACACTGTTTATAATATGGAATGGGCCGGTCCATTACTACCCGGCCCATAATGAAATACAGCTGCTAGCACTTAGGCCCATACATGCAAAGCTCAACGAGCTTCGTCCTCCTGCACATTAGGGGCATGATCCCCATGATGTATAGTGCTCGGGTATAATTGTAAAACCAACACTTTTACTTTTATGATATTTTTATATTTCTTAATTATATATAACAGGTTTATTTTTTCTTAAATAGTGTGCTGCAATTGAATATTGCATAAAAAAAAACACAGTAGGAGGTTCAAATTCACATAACTGAAGGAGTTAAAAGTAAAAAAGTGGTTGTCATGTGTGACTCCAAAAAACAAAAACAAACACAAGAAATTATTGATGCCAGAAAAGTGTGCTTGAATATCAAAATTATTAAGAGTAGCCTTGTTTTAAATATTATTAAGGCCTATTTCCTGATTTTCATACCCTCAATTCTAATGTGCTGCCTAGTGGCGGCAGATTTTAATCCCAAATAATATGCAATGAAAAGAAAAAGGCCACAAAAGACGCAAATTAATGCCATTGTAATAATACAATAACATTGCAGAAAAAATAAAAATGGTTAGAACAACCAGTCATCAATGATTCAATATTTCAATTTGAGAGTCATAACATGATTAAAATAATTAAGGTTCATGCGTTTTTTCGGTTTATACAACTTAAACACGCACACATACCACAATGAGTAGCATTGTCATTGGAGCTGTAGTTGATTAGGATTCACAAGTTGTTTGGTCAATGCAAAGTGATTTAGTGAAGTTAAAAAAAAACTAATGAAAAATTTTGCATTTCGCCGGGGAAAGAAAAAGAAACATAGTTTGACACTCGGACACAACTAATCCTCGGCACAGGATTTAACGTCCGTTCGTTTGAAAGGAAGCCAGTTTTAAGATTTTCAATTTCTTGTTTCGGAAGACAATAACTATGGCCACGTCATCCAAAAATTATCAGTTCTACAAGGATTGGTTAGCGATCGGTTCTGTCATGGAACTTGAAGCACCAGATACCTACCTGCCTACAACTTGAGAGTAGAAACCACCGGAGGGCGCCTCATCCAACCGTTAGTTTAACAGCCATCACGAAAGAATCATGATCTTGGGACGCCAAGATTCGTGAAAATTGTTAGTTTTCGTTAATGTCTTTGTTAATTTAGGCCAGAAAGGTTTCAGCTTTCTGAGGTTTCTGGGGAGTCTGGTATAAAAGTGAAGAACCCCACTTCACTGTGATGGGTCCTGATACAATAATGGGAAGTGGAGACTACCCTCTGCTGAAGGATTTGAGATTGGAAATTGAAGGAAAGGAGGGAACTTTCTCGGTCTGTTTCTGGGTTTATCTTATGAGCTCCACCACATTCCCTGCTACGATTCTCCAACAGGTCTCGCATGGCTTGTTTCTATTCTTGACTTGTTTAACCGACATGGCTTCAGTTTTGAAGAATAACATCGAAGTCTTGTTTTTTTGTATTTTGTTTTATCGGTTCCTTGTGTTTATTTCTGTTCCCTTACAATGGTGGTTCGCGTCATTTAGTATTCGTGTCACTAGAAGTAGTCGTTGTGATCTTACTCAATTGTAATTTTACTATCTCTTTCGTTATCTAGATAAACCAGCTGTAAGAAACTTGAAAGTTTTACGATTTTCTACAGTTTAATCAGTTATGGCGGTGAATCTACTGCACTACTCTGTGTTTCGGAAGATCTTTACCTGGGTCAAGCTCATGTTCCCTGTTTCTTTTATGCTTGAGTCGTGTGAACGAGAAAGATGGATTTCTTTTTCTCCTTCTAATTTCCTAACGTTGTCTGAAGCCTCCTGTGCCTGCATTTGTAATGTTTAATTTTGTTTATACAAACTTGTGGCTGTTTTTCAAGTTCTGTGCTTTCCAGTCTTAAAAGGATTATTTCAGTTAGTGCAACTCTTTTAATTAGGTTGTCACCGTCAGTCCTATGTTTCAGAGATGAATTTTTTTCATGTCTAACTACTTTATAGATATTCTTGATTTCCTTGTTTTTTGTCTCTCTTCCATACTTCTAGCTTGTCAGCTCTCTTTCTGTCCTATTATTTCCCTGATTTCTAGCTACAAACCGATTGCTATGTAGTTTGGGTTCTATAACTGTAGCATGCGCTCGATAGCCTACCCTCATTGTGGCTGAACTTGGACTTTAATCCTTCTTCCTGTGACCTTAGGTTATTACTTTGCAAGTTTATATGGATATATTATCATCATACTATATGACTGACACTGATAAAACTTCTTAAACCCCCCAGTCCATGATTCTCCTCTTGTATGATCCAAACAGGTTTGCCTTGATAATGTAGCTTAATTCGCCGAGATTCACTGAAATGATTGTCTTGTTTAATGTCTGCTTTTGATTATACTATTAGAAATATGTTCAGTGCTTTCTTTTGTTTTGTTTTTTTTAGATTTCTAGTTGGATTAACAGGGCACTACATAATTGTTTTTTTCTTTTCTCATATGTTGTATTTCCTATATTTTATCCACTTGTTAACTTAATACAACTAATTGGACATGCAGGTGCGCTCTGATATCTCCAAAAGTGCCCCTTTTCTTGTTATAAATGACAATAAGAGAATCAACCTTTTACCTGTTATTCTCTTACACGAAGAAGCTCCTAATGTTGGCGATGTCAATTCATGGGCAGAAGTTCCGCATGCAACTGTAGATTTTGAGTTCCCTTTAGAAAAATGGATCCATGTTGGATGTGAGGTATCTTATGACTTGTTAAGGATACATATATATGTGTGTGTGCGCGTGTGTGTCTGTATGTATGTATATTTTAAATCTGCTTGCTTCCATATTTTCTATGTATCTTTATGTATGGCATTCTGGTTATCCTTAGGCGTCATAGAAAACTTTCATTTCAGTATGTTGTTACATTAACTATATGAAGGAATCAAATACTATCTCCGGTCCTTAATATGAGAGCTAGTTGACTAATTTGAATAAATTAAGAAAATCAGTTAAGTTAGTTATTTGTAATAAACAATATTGTTTTTCTTAAAATACCTTGCTAATCATGTACTACCTCTGGTCCTTAATATAAGACCCTGTTTGAACTTTTATTTTGGTCCTAAATATAAAACCTCAATCTACTTTGTCTCTCATATTTATATATTTCTTTTTCCAAAGTAGTCCTTTTAACAATGGTAGTTCTAGTCAATACAATTGATTAGTAAAGATATTTTAGGAAAGACAACATCTATTTAGAACAAATAACTAACTCAACTTACTTCCTTAATTTTCTCAAATTAGTCAATTGACTCTTATAATTAGGACTGGAGGTAGTATATTAGCAAGGGTAGTTTAACATGTGCAACTACCACAAGGAGTACCTTGGGAAAAAAATAAATAAATATGAGAGACAAAGTGGATTGTAATTTTATAGTTAGGACCAAATTAAAAGTCAAACTAGCTCTTATATTAAGGATTAGAGGTAGTATAATTTATCTGCTGCCTATTACATTGCAATACGCTTTGAACCTGCTTTTGACATTTAAAAGAAACGGGAACGAGGTAATTATGGATGACAAGATGTGCAATATCCCTAGAAATGATAAAGAATTTTGGTTGCCTCTAATTGATTAAAGACACTAATTTTCCCTATTTATTCTTTTATTAATGTAAATATCTAACATGCTTGTATTCTTGTATCATACAGATTACCCCAGACCATATTCAGCTTCAGATTAATGGAGAGATTGTTGGAGCAAAATCTCTGTCTTCCTTATTAAATAAGGAATCCAATTCAATTGGTTTGACTAAAATTGCTTTGGCTTATGTCGGTGGTGATGGCAATATTGTTCAGGGTTATGTGCACAACTTGGAAGTCTTGCCCTCTGCTTCCTCTATTAAGGATCAACATTTAAAGGTGATTGTTGATCTTATTTTGTAATTCAATGTCTGTTTTGCATGTATTTTCCCTTAGGCTTTAAGAATCAGGACAAATTTTACTTGGATACCTTCTTCACAACTTAATCTTATGCCAGGACCCTCCTCTGAAGTTATCTATTGATGAATTGTCTGCCTCTGAGATTGAAGAGGAAAGTGATGGAGTCTGGAGCATTGTTGGTGGCAAGGTTAGAAAGATCTTTAGCCCAGCATATCTTGTTAGTCTATTCAATGTGGTCATTTTCACGTATGGTAAATTCATCTTTGAAGTGAGTCGCTCATTATCAGTTTGAGTTTAATTTATGAAGTATGTAATACAGTTTGTGTATGATGTATTAATTTTGAGGGCTTATAACTGAAGCGTTATTGTCTTCTGTTTCTTTGAAACCTTAGAATTGTGTTTCATGTGATTTAACTGTAAATGTCCTAGTCATATCACTCTTGTTGTAGTTATATGACCATGTGGCTATGTTCTGGTCCATCGCTGCATGTAATTTTAAGGCTCTAAATATCAAAATAATTTTCTACCATGCATTTAGTGAATCCTACATGAACGACTGTACCAAGGATAGATAGAATTCATACAAGTATAATAAAAAGTTAAAATGAAAGTAAAAGACGCCATGAAGAGGGGCTGTCTTTGCTGATAGTCTATACAGTGATTAGCTTTGTCACTCAAAATTGGCTTGGTTTGTTCATTTGATAACCTGACTACAAAAAAGTGATGCCAATTTTGCCTTCCTATAATTTGGTGCAGGCATCGTGTCGTAGGAACTTCTCTTTGGATGTTGTTCTGTCAGATGCTTTTGGCCAGCCTGTAGACAAGGATAGTGAGGTTTATAATCCTGCCTTTTATGTTGATCAAATGAATGATTTCTCCTCGGTGGTATATAGTGTGTGTGCATTTTTTACATTATGTGTTGCTAATGTTATCAGGTGTTTGCTTCACTTTTGTATGCTGATACTGGAGCACCTGTGGAGAACACAACTGATGCTGAAGCACCTCTTTTGCTTAGCTCTGATGGGACCGAATATTCTGCTCATGAAAGACCAAGTAAACTCTTGCAGGGACGTGCCTCATTTAAGCTCAAGATATCTCAGGTAAAGATATGCTAACTCTTTTGATGAATAAATGTTTATAATGAACATTTGTTGCTCTATGATGATTACATTTGAGACGTATCAAAGTTGGACGTGCATATAATGAGCATAAGTGCTATACTTGACTCATATAGACAATCCTGGCAAATCCTAAATTCAAAAAACAGTGAAATATACATAACCATAATTGAGATCCACATCTTTATATTTATATTTCCTGGTCCGTGAAACATAATTGGCATACTTGACATGCACAGAAAAAGTGACATCTTTAAAGTTAAATCATGATGGTGAAATGAAGTTAAGGAGTTCACAGTTTTTACTTTTTAAAGAGATAAAATCACAATACCCAACAAATACTTGTTCTCTGATATTGAAATTGACTAGAAGGTTGTTCTACTTATTTTGTAAGATGTCTTATGTGTGAATCGTATGGTATTTCAGATGGTATTTGCAAAGCAATGATGCACAATCCTCAAGGTGCATGTGTAAACTTTTGATTTCACAAGTGATATCTGCTAAGACCTTTCCTCTCGATAAACCAAATATTTGTTAGCAGTTTAGAATCATGCTGAATAAGTGAATATTTTGGGGTTGATTTTGTGGAAGTCTGTTGCAGTTACTCATTTCAGTCTCCTTATCAATGGTCTACCTTAATATTGAAGTGGTTCACTCCGCACTACCTGAAACTAAGTTATAAAGGGTTTTATTATAGACGGAGTAATGTGGTTGCTGTTTATCATCAATGACAAAATATGAATCCAACTTCGCATGATCTCATTTTGGAGTATTATGTTGAATTTCTTTTTCTCTCTTCTGATTTATAACTTAAGTGTAAGAATTTTGATTCCATCCTCCTCTTGGCTGTTAACGCCATCTTTTGTCTCCTTTTCAGCTTTCATCCAAGTGTGATAATAGGCTGTTCCTCATCCGGTTTTGTCTTCCGAAGTTGGGAAGTTATCCTTTTCTTGAGACATCCTCTCGTCCAATTCGATGTATTTCCAGAAGTCGCAACACAAGATTGTCGACTTTGGTGTGGAAAAGATCAACTCCTCCTGATGCTTCATTGGAACTTCAAAATGCTGCTGCTCATGAAGCAAAAGCCAGTAGTCCATCGATGAAGCGGTTTAGACTTGGGCATGACAAAATATCTGTATCAGTGAAGGCTGACGGTGCCTCAGAGCAGCCTGATGAGGAATGCAATTCTCATGCCAGGACCATAAATCGGGTATTTTCAAATTTTCAAATTATTATTTTCTTTTAAACTTGTGTAAATAAAAGGAAGTAATAACAATACAACTGCAAATGGGATTCATGTACATTTTTTTTCCGGGAATTCAGTATATTGTAGCTGTTAATATCGCAGTGAACTTGTTTCATAGATTGAGAATGGGTTTGCAACAAGCTTGGAAGGTAGACCTGAGAACTTTGATGAAGCAGATAACTCTCCATCTGATTCAGGGAGCATAGGGGAGGAAAATTCACAGTCCAAGATCGCAAGAAATCCAATCTCTGACATGACCATATTCAAATACTGCCTGGCAGGCTTAACTGAGAGGTCTCTTGTGCTCAAGGAAATAGCTTCCTCTGCCTCTGACAAAGAAATTTTGGAATTTGCATCCCAGGTGTCACACTATTCAGGATGTTCACATTATGGGTAGGCACTTTTGCTTGCTTTGTTTATAAATGATTTATATTTTGACTGCCCTCTTGTTGGAATTTTAGTAGTAATTCAATTGTTTTAATATTCTATTAGGGATGTTAAATCAGCTTTATAAATGCTTGTAACTAGAAGGGTTGTGCTGACTAGTGAGAACCTGGGATGTTTGTTATTTATTCTTAAACTTGTCTATCTCGATCGATTACAAGGTCAAACTGTTTGCTCTTTCTAGTCTCAAGTGAAACATTAATAATCATTCTCCAGAGTGTGTCATTAGTGCATATTATTACTCTATTTTGCAACTGGACTTTGAACTTACTATCAATTCCTGATGCTTCGCCATACTAAGATTCGATGGTCCCTGCTTGGAAATAATATCCTTCTTGCATTCTTCTATCCTTGATAAATAAAGCATAGTAAGGAATTTCCTCAGAACTTCTCATTATAGGCAACCATGTGTTTACTTCAATCACCCAGACTATATCTTCTGTAACCTTGTTCTGTGTTTGGAAATCAGAACCCAAATATCATTTTCCAAGGGATTAATAGAGGAAGGAACTCTGGTATGGAAGACATTGTCCCAAAACAACTACAATATACGGTGGGACAGTGCAGTTTATGAGATTGAAGAGCACTTCATGAAGATTGCTCGCTGCAGTTCAAGAGCTCTCACACTCCAGGTGACTACCTTTTTAAATATTCTGTAATTGAGGCACCGTAGTACAGCTATTGAGTCACGCTTTTCTTTTCTTTTTTATCCTCTTTCTAAAATAAGACTAGTAATGTGACGTTTTACATATGCTGAACTTCATCTTTAAATCTCATGATGAAAATGAGAGTTTACTCGCTCAAAAGGAGATGCTAGCTATACAAATAATGTGCAGACTTCTCACAAGCAAGTCATCAAAATAGGCATGAAGACTACTAATCTAATTGCGAATGTTATTGTCATGTTCTGTATAGGTTACAACAAAGAAAAGAATCTCATATTGAAATTTTTGGGCATGAAATAAAAAATACAAAAGAAAATAATTGCATATTTTCAAGATATTCTATTTTTGTTATCAACGCCATAGAGACA